TCAATTTCTGTTCTTGTTATCTGGTTAATTTTAATTAACTATAGTAACCTTGACATACACCAGACCTCCATAGTAATTATCAGATGATCCGTCTCTCCCAAACAAAGGCTGTTGGTCCTAAAGAAATGTGATGTCATAAGCTAGAAACATTCAAAATTGAATGAGACTTTTTAAAATTTCACTAGAGAATATCAGTGGTGGGGAAATGACACAATCAAGCAAAGAATCTGAAAAAGGGACGCAAAGTTTTGATATTAATTGTGAAGACTACAGCAGCAAGAAAACAAGGTTCAAAGGAATCACATCAGTAAAAAGATTTGATTAAAACTGTATATATAAAGAAAGTGAGGTGTAGGTTAGCTATGCCAGCTTAACGTTTATGCGCAATTCAGAGTATTTCGGTTAAATGAACATAAAAATAATGCAACCTCCATTTTCTAATCACCCACTGTGAGTGTTCCTTCCTATTGATCGCGAAATGAAAATTCAAAAACATATTTGAATGTTTTTGAATGTTCTGTTTGGTGTTTTCAAGGTTTTGTGTCTTTAGTTTTCATTCTTGATGCACTTGGACGTAATCTTTGCTCTGTGCTCCCGGGATTGTTTAGTGGTTGCCCTGGCAAACTAGTCACACCCTGTGACCTTAAAGTTAATAAAGTTATAAGGCATTCACATGTAAGTTTTGGCATTATTCTTAGCACAAAAAAATTCATTAAAAGTTCTTCCAGTAACTGGGTGCACCAGCACCCCTTCTCCTCCCGCTCCTTCTCGTCCCGCCAACTTGTAACTCAAAGTTAAACCCTTGCTTCTTGTATCGCTTCTCTGTTTTTACTCTTTTTTAAAACTCCTGTTTACACACTTGTGCTCCACAATTCAATAGATTAAGTTGTAAAGAGATTAAAACAGTTGTTTCCAAAATTACCCCATCAGAAATGTAGCTTCAGTACTGATGTCCAAACTAGGATACACAGTGCACTGCAAAAGTATTTATTATATTAAGGTCCCATCAGTTAGTTGTTTTGTTACATGTTTATTCTACATCCCTGTGTATTCCCTCCGTAGTTAAACCTATTTGGGTTACATGTACGAGGTTGGAAGTCGTTTCCCACAGCTGCCTGGGAACCTGAAACATTTCCCATGTTTTGGATCCTTCATCTTTGTATAAAGCTTACGTGTAGGGACGGCATGGGGGGCTTTTGCTTCCAGACTTGCTTCATTTACTGATTGTCCTACAAGCTCTCTGTATTGTGCACAATATATGAATAGACCTGATTGAGTGATTGTTCCTGAACAGTGCTTGGAAATAGTTTTTTTTTTTTTTTTTCACGACAATGCTCATTGGATTTTTTTCACACTTTGTAACATTAATAGAATAAAGCATAGTCCTGCGTATTGGAATTTTATGTGAGAGAATGAGAAAGTATGAATGGTGTGAAGTAGCATGAATATAAAGGTCCAAATACTTGAAGAATTCTTGATAGTCGGAAACCAAAACTTGAACAAATTTTATTCAGCTGAAAGCTTATAAAACAGCAAAGCGGAAATTTTATATGCAAAATTATAATAGTCCGGCTGGACTCGTTGTATTTGCATGCTACTGGTATGTTAAAAATAAAAGCTGAAAAACGTTTTAATTGGTTAAAATCTATGTAATTATTTAGTCAGAGTTACCGCGCATTCATTTTCTAATGGATGGATCCGCTTGTCCCTAGCAGGGTCCACAGGGGTGCTGGTGCCCATCTCCAACCAACGTTTCGGGCAAGAGGCAGGGTACACCCTGGACAGGTCGCCAGTCTGTCGCAGGTGCAGCTAGTCTCATAGCAAAAAACTTTAAAGAGTTATTCAAACTTGAGCCAGTTTGTTTAGAAAGTTTGGTTTGTTTGGTGCAGTGTAAATGCGCCATCAAACTCTTATGCAGACCAGAAAAGCAAACTGATCTGCTTAAGAATTTAGGTCTTGGTTAGGTTGAAGTGAACTCTGGTGAATGCATGTGTAGATGCAAGCAAACCAGAGACTACTCCAAACGTAGAAAGTGACTGCAGCGCAGTGCATTCTGGGTAAATGCAACTAAAATAGCACAGGAGTTTAGCTCTAGTCAGAGAAATAGCTTGTGGTCTTTTTACCAAAGACAAATCAGAAATCCTACAAAGTCTGACACTGTTCAATTTTGCAAGGAAGGAAGTTGCACTCAGTGTCTCCTCATGAAGTTTTTATGTCACTTCCTTCAGTGATTCTTGGTACGGTGACACCAAGGTGAGGAGAGGAACAGGTTTTCCAACTTGTGTGAATTGTTTGACACAATTCAGAATGAAAGTACCAGCTGAAAATATAATAAACATTGAAATTTTGGTCCCCTGTTGTACTGAGTCTACCGGACTATCATGTGTGAAAACAACTTTAGTCTGTCACAAAACAGAATCAAGGCCAGAATTTTGTTTTTTGAAAGACAAACAGATATGACAGTAATTTCACCTCCTTTTTGAATTCGATCTGATGTTTTGGGGACAGAAAACAAAAATTAGTCAAATTCAAGAAATTCACCAAATATTCTCAGGATGTGGGTATTTGTCACATTCCGTCTCTGATTTCATTTACTTTGAAGGTTTGTGTAGAATTTGTATTTCCTACTAACTCATGATCATTTAGGCAAATACAGAGAAAAAAATCTCTACCTCTGCTGTCCTGCTGATTTGTGCTGATTGTAGAGCAACAAAACCTCTTTCAACACACTCGGCAGAACGGAGGACAGAGTGGGCAGATGAGGATAAGGAAAAGAACAATACAGAAGGAAAAAAAGTGCTGATCTCTCTCTCCCTCTTATTCAGTATGCTGACTGTTTCTGTACAGAACACTGACACCCACGCTTTTCTGCCTGGCCTATTTATCACACCAATCAGGTTATGAAAACCTCGCTCCAGAATGTTTGTCTCCCAACCTTTCACTCCGGACGACACATCGGCTTCATTTTGTGGAATATTCCTTTCACAAATCGGCAAAAAAAAAAAAAAAAAAAAATCTAATTAATTATCCTGTGTTCATCTGTTGCTCAATTATGCCATTTTTTTTTGGCTTCCAGCAGCACCAGCAAAGCCCCACTGTGCTATCTGCAGTGATATGAGATGAGCTATCAAAATGTCCATTTTTTTTTTCTTTTCTCATCATCAACCTTCTTCCTCTCGCCCAACGAAAGGCGCTCCCGCTCTGTGTCCCGCGTGTGTTCTGGGAGCCTCACTTTGTCCTCAATAATCTCTCTACAAACTGTAATCTATACCCAGAGGGGTGGGAGAAAAAGAGATAGAGAGAGAGGGAGAGAAAAAAAAATAAACCACAACCTCCCTGAAAACAGTAATCCAATCGACCCGGAATCATCCTTGAAATAGCAGCCGCCATCGCAGGGACTTCACACTTCACATCCCTGCGTGGATACGAAAAATGCAGACGGACTGACGGATGGGTATTTAAATGAAGGGATGGATGCCATTTGCATTTCATCAGCACAAAGCAATGATCCTCCTGCTGCTGCTTACTTTGGAGATGCAGTGGAGTATCTGCAGAATATCAATGGTAAAATGATGAGGTGTGGGTGGCTAGCGGGAAGCTCAGGCTCTGCTACAGGAAGCATTTAAAACGCACCTACTCAGGGAATATCCTAACAGTCTAATTAAGAGTCAAGAAATAGGAATATGTACAAACGGTCTCCAGCAGACTTCACACAGATGCAAAATGGAAATCACATGATGTTCCTGGTGCTATATTAGTGAAACTGGTGTTGGAAATTTTAATCTGTAATGCTGAATGTGATTTTTGATCTTCTTTCTGAGACTTCTATATGCTTAAGTCTGTCATGCCAAACATATTGTTTGATTTGAGCACATGTGACACCCAATAATACAAAATGTAGCAATTTTGACATTTATTTTCAAAATGACTGACTCTATAACAATACAACACACAAATCAATTTTTAAACATGTATCTCTGAGTATCACATCTCTTTTATCTCATAATGCCAGAAATCAAATTTCATTGCATGTGTTTATGGGAATTCCATCAATAAAACCCTATGACACAATTTGAATCTTTTTTCAAAACACATTTTTTTAAAACAACATTGAAGATATAGCTATGAATTGAAATCACCGTCATGCCAAACAATCTCATCTTTAATGCATGCATTTATGGGAAATCTATTGCATCAGGAAATCATTTCTGAGGTGCATTCAGACTCATTACTGGCAACTCCACTAGAAATAATTCCTCCATGTTGTGGCGCCCCCTTTCTCTTGGCGCTCCTGTAGGTGGCATATAGCCCATACGTATGAAATGCATAACTTTAAATCACCAAAATGTTGAATATATCACTCATGATTTATGTACTTTGGAAACATTTTCTTCCAAACACGTCAAGAAAAGCAAACAATTTTATTTTTCAAACATGTGTGTCTCAGACATCGAGATTTAGTTCTTTTCGCCAAAAACCTTCAAACGTATTATTTATTTGTTCAGGTCTATGTCCAACATAAGTGATGCAAAAATACCATTGGAGAGACTACACTATACATAATTTCACTGCCCTCTTTTATCCACTAGATATTTTTAAATTCCTTGTTCAAGACTTGTGCCTCTCTTCCAGGCATAAGTCTTGGAAGAGAGGAGACAAGACAAGATGCAGGTATGTTCAAGGACGCGGCGAGGTGGAGAGAAAGTGTTTATCTTGTTCCAGCTGCAGTTCTGTCCCTTCATTAGTTTAAAAAAAGAAAGTATGCACATTTAGACCCCATAACGATCAATGCACACTCTATGAATATATACTTATATATATTCATAGAGTGTGTTTATATACACACTATATGAATATGTGCATATGAGTGTGTGTATATATATATATATATATATATATATATATATATATATATATATATATATATATATATATATATATATATATATATATATATATATATATATATATATATATAAAGCCAAGAAATGCCAACCTACCGCACAGCAGCTGCATCCAGGCACAGGTCTTGTAAACGGTGGAGGTGTTGCAGAAGAAGAAGAGCGCCATGCAGGCGATGCAGCTGAGGATCAGCACCATGGACAGGAGCACGAACACCGAGGCGGCCTTGAAGGCTCCCGACGGGATGGAGCCGAAGTCGGAGAAGCTGCCCACGCAGGTGAGGTCCCGGCTGGACGCCTGCACGCTGCCCACGCAGTAGTGAAAAAGGCCGAAGTGGCCGATGTGCGGCGTCTTGACGCTGTCGCCAATCCAGTAGGGCTGGATGAACACCACCACGTTGACGATGGCGAAGCAGATGGTGAAGATGGCCCACAGAACCCCGATGGCCCGGGAGTTGCGCATGTAGTTGTCATGGTAGATCTTGGAGGCTTCTTGGGAAGGCAACATGTTTGCTGTTTCCCCCCGTCTTTTACACCTTTAATCTGTCTCTCTTTACTCTCACAAGGACAATAATATGATTTTGTAGGAACCCCACCACACAGATTTGACACATAAATATCCCAAAGCTCTCTTTGCGCTAAGATTTTCCCTCCGCTTTGGCTTTCTCTCTCTCTCCCTCTTCCTCTCTCTGGAATGGGCCTAAAAAATCATGGGACCTGAAAATATGTATATGACCCCTAGACGACAATATGTTACAAAAAATATATATGAAATGCAAAGAATGCTACATGAAAGCAATAGAAAATCATAGCCTACTTCTACCTCTGATGAATAATTTACCAACACCAGTGATTCAACATTGCTGCTTTTTCCTTGGGGCTACACCATAAATGATTAACAAAAAAAAATAAAAAATAGAAAAGAAAGGAAAAAATATCAAGAAAATCCATCAGAATAGGACTTATTTCCTTTCCCAATCGTCAGGTGGATGGTGGGGGTGGGTGTGGGGGGCTAAAGCTGATGTTCCTCCTCATCCATCAGTCCGGAGCTTTTCTTCGGGATGTCCTTTATCACCATCCGGGGGATGAGATGGTGCCTGTGGCGCCAGCGGTGGAGCCCGTTTCTACCTTCCGAGGCATTCGTGGGGAAGGAAGCTTCTGTTCCTCTGCCCTTCGCTTCTCCAGCGTCCACGCAAGCGTGTGGAAACCAAAGAAAGAAGAAGAAGAAGGTGGAAAATCAAAAATGAAACGCTCTCTTTGACGCGAGCTCTCTGTCAAATTTCAACAGTCCTTTCCCGTAAATCCGACATCCTCCACCGCCTTGACTCCATTATCATCATGGTTTTTTTTTTTTGTCGTAGCCTTTAACCAGTATGTCTGCTCTCTCTCTCTTTCTCTCTCTCTCTCTCTCTCTCTCTCTCTCTCTCTTTCTCTCTCTCTCCGTTGTCCTCCTCCTCGCGGTTTTCCGCGCGCCCCCCGGAAGATGCTGATGTTGTACTGATGACAGCGATGGAGCGCGTTCACGGCGCCAGCAGCAGCAGCGGTGGTGGTGGGGGTAAAAATTTGCATCAGTGCGCGCCTCCGCCTTGATCACCTTGAATTTGAAATCAAGAAGAGAGAGAGAACAAAAAGAGAAATAAAGAAAAAAAAAAGCGAATTCTCTGTTGAATGATTTATTTTCCATGAGCTGGACCATTCAATCTAGTTTGACACTTTAACTTGACAGTCTGAGGTGAAATTTGAAATAAATTGCCAATTATTAATAGCCATTTGTTAGAGTTTTGCACAATCTAGGAAATAGTCTGGGATATATTTTTTAAATACTAATTTCAATATATTCTATTTTCATGTATTCTCTATTTTATTATTTCGTTTTATTTCCTTCAACTTAATTTTTCTGTTATTAACATACTCGATATTCTTCACACAGTGTCATTTTATATCACAATCAAGTGTCACACTGACAAAAGAAAATGGTGCTTTGACTTATTAAAACTGAGTTAATTTGTTACATGTAAAATGAAGTTTGTCAACCTTAATTTATTTACATTTGTTTAACTTGACAAATTATTAAACTTAATATATTTACTTAGATAAACTTAATTTGATTAATAGGAACAACTTAACCATTTTTATGTTGGATCAGCTGTTTTTTTCAGTGTTTCTTCAGATATAAAAATGGTGTAAATGTGACTTGGTGAAATGGTGAAATTAGACTTTCCAATGTAAGACGTTGAAATTAGGTCTCTGTCTCTTTAAGAAGCTCCTGTTCTTTCAGACAACGCCTGCAGGAAGCCATCACAACCATTCTGCATGGTTGCCAGGAGAGATGAAGGGATTTCTCAAACGTGCATGAAAGAATCAAAGCAACACTTCAGGTATATTTTTGATGAAGGAATGTCATCATAGCATGATGTATAGCTCATAAAAGTCCATATTTCATAATGCTTTAAAACAAATGATCATATTATAAGATAACCTAAGCAAATCTAGGGATGCACCATTATGAAAATGTGGGTATTTGGGAAATTAAACTATTAATATCATCGCCTATAAGTGATATCACTGCTTTGAAGCCTTGAAAAAAAAAAAAAATAAAATAAAACAACACAAAAAAACTCACTTCACCCCTACTGCTCTGCGTTAGTGAAACTCCCCAAAACTGTTTTTATTCTATGTATAAACATCTTAGAGTACCGTAAAGTGCAAAGTACTAAATAAATTAATGTATTATTATTAGATTGAGTACTTAATCTGTGTTTTCTCCACTCCCTCACCTTGTGGCCAGTTTGTCATGAGTGTCTTTAACAGGGGCATAAAGGTCTCAAATTTAGCCCCACGTAAAAAAATAAATAAATAAATAAAAAGATCCTTCTCCCTCTTGTTCAGCTGAGCTCTTACTGATCACAATTGTTGAGAAACCAAAGTTCATTTCCAATAGGCACACCTAGAGAACACAGAAATCACTCATAGCAGCTGTCTGACAGCATGAAGTAGAGCAAAAAGAAATCACAAGCAAAACATTGTCAACCTTGTTGGTCTTTATGTTTTAAAAATAATAAAATACAATAGAAAAATAGACAAAAGAATGCAATCACCAAAACCACTGGCTGGACCCAGCTCCCCCTCCTTGGAGTTGCAGTTTCTAAACTCATGAGCCTTTCACAGAGCAGCCCTATCCTGTGACTGCCCCACTCAGCTCCTTCAGACTAGCCAGCAACAATTAGCAAACACCAGGTGAAACTGCATTTGCTGAGCTCATTGTAGAAGCTACCTTTCATAAAATATTACTATGTGCCTCTTAAACATATAATCCTTTAGAGTATTTCAGATGATCCGCAGTTTTCTGGAAGTTTTTGCCAGATTTGTGGTGTGTAGAGGCAGAAAGCTACTTCTCCAGGTTTGGTTGTGGGGATTCAGATTTTTAGCAGTTTAATGACTTTCAGATAACTTTCTCATCTGGATAACTTTACGCAGATGACGCTTTTTAGATTAATCAGTAAAACAACATTAATGGTGCAGTTGTTTTCTACTTGGATTAAACTTTGATCTGTCAACTTTAATGTGTGTCCAAATGTTCAGGATTAAAAACAACCTGGTGAAATCTTATGTTTTGCTCATCCTATAAGTAGCTGTCATTTCAGCAGATCATGGGGTTAACATTCCCATACAACTCTGAGTAAAAAAAAAAAAAAAAAAAAAAAAAAAAGCACAAAATCCGCCGTCTACAGGAGCGTGAATGCTGCGTTGCGCAGCATTCACTTCCTGCCTCCTTTATTCGGCCGACTTGTCTTCCTCGGGACCAGATGTTGCCTTAACTATTCAAGCCTTCTTCGTCTGTCCATTAAGGGCTTTGTTAGTCACTCAGGGGAGAAACACATCTGCCCTGCAGCTAGCAACTTCACACTAAAACTAGGCCAAAACTAGCCCGTAAAAAGTGTGGGTTATATGTTTTGAAGGAGGGGATCATACAGTCTGTCTGTTTAAAGGCAGAATAGAAGCCAGGTGAGACAAATCTACATTCTTCATCTTGATTATCCCAACTCAGTACAGAAGCAATTAACGGCAAAGAAAATCTAATGTTTCTGGCCAGTCTTCTGGTCACGTAATGTTACAGCGCTCAGACTACATCTGGATGCTGTCTAAACAAACATGGATTTTTTTATTTATTTTTTTTGCCCTCTGTTTTCACAGCCCTCTATCTTCCTTGATCCTGAGGCCTCCTGTCATCTGTTAGCAGCAGCAGGGGAGTTGACGAGCTGCATGCATGTGTGTGTATGTGTGTGTGTGTGTGGGGGTGTGTGTGTGTGTGTGTGTGTGTGTGCGTGTGCGTGTGTGTGTGTGTGTATCCTTCCCATGTGCGAATGCGTGCTAAATTTGGCAGAGTGAGAGCAAAAGGTGGTGTGTAGCTGCTGAAGTGAGGACATGTCAGTAGGAGAAAATAGACCTGTGCACAGCTTGGGGAGCCTCTTGAGAAGCAGAAGGTTTTGTCATTTGGGGAACAGACGCTTTTTGCTACTTTTTTATTTATTTTTATGTGTGTATTCATGCGTTTTAGGAGAGTTTAAGAGGACAGTGCTTGCTGATGTGAGAATAATGTCATAATGTCAGCCTTGTGTTGCCTTTAAGCTGCAGTTTGAGTCTTCTTTTTTTTTTTTTTTTTTTGCACTGAATGATATTTGAATTATACATTGCTCATGTTAAGAGCTTGCAATAGCCTTGTTCAACACACAGCTTTTCCCTTCATGCTTCCAGTCCGCTGTGCAGCACATGGTCGGTTGTTCCCAGGAGCTTGTGCAAGGCTGCCATCTGTTGCATTAAAAATGAATTGCAGGAATAAAATTCAGGACACAATATGAACACAGGAAACGGCAAAGGAAAACCTATTGTGTGGAATAGTGAAACTCCTACTAGTATTTAGTTTGTTTTTTTAAAGCTTAGTAATTTCCTAAAACACTGGGGCTGCTGTAGTATTTAGTATGCAATACTCTAAGTAAGGTCTATTTTCAGCTATGGATTAAAATACATGAGGGAGAATTAGCATCAACTGGATTTTAATAAGTCACCCAGAGTTCATGCTTCAGAGGAAGGAAGGCTGCTCCCTTTATCTCTGGCTTATATGTTTTGCTTTTATTTTACTCTTTAATAAAAATTAAAGAATAAAACCAATCCCCACATATGAACAAAGAAAAATGATAATTCAGTTTTATAAATTACACTTTTGTCATTCATTCTACATGACATGAAATGTATTTAAAACCACTTTCGATCACTTACTTCCAATTTTGTTCCTGATTCTTGTATTTGCCATTGGTGAGGTTTCGATACGATGCTGCTAATCCTATGAAGCTAACACACCACAATGTGCACGAGCTTTGTGTTAATTGTCTACCTGGACCTTAAACAACAACCTTTAGTCAAAAGCTCTCACAATTACAGTTTGTGTGCTTCCTGAAGAAACCAATAATTATCCACCTTCAAATACTGTAAACTGTGATAATTGGCATCTCCATAGTCATAAATGTGGCATTAGAGACACCAACAATCACAGTCAAATGTTTACCAGGGGTCAGAACAGGGAACACCAAATCCTACATAAAACTGCTGGCAGAGGATAAGCGTTGTTATTTATGGTGCCAGTGTTGGCACCAGTTACGCCAGTTAGTGGTCATTAATGTTAGTGTTACTATAGCGTGTAAGTTTGCCAAAATAAAGTTGGACTCCATAGTTTTCTCTGGTCCCCTGCCAGATCGTAAAAGTGATGAAAGCGTGTTGTCATACAACCACTAGTTTTCTAGGTGGTGTCTTGAGAATGATGTGGGTTATATTGATAATTGGCATGCATTTTGGTGAAAACAGGCCTGATCAATCCCACTTTGGATGGATGCCATCCAAATTATTTGTGAATGAAAATTTACATACATTTCCAGGTAGAAAATGCCTTCT